GTTGGAGCATTGATCGGTACATTTAATGAAATAAACAGTCTGTTTCAATAGCCTGAAAACCAAAACTGATCAAAGATCCCTTCCCCAAAGTTACCCTATGCCAAGCCACAGACCACTCGCTGTTGCTGGAACCAAGTATTCTGCCAGAATCAAAGTTCACCATCCAGAGCATTGAATACCCTCTGAACACATCTCTGAGTACATTCTTCCTATGTGTGAGTGAATGCTTTTTAGAGAAATCAGAAGGGACCACTTAAAACAAAACTAGGATCATTAAACATTTATTCTGCCTTTTTAAACCTTAACCATGAGGATTATCAAGTTCCACCTTCCCTGGATTTCCTGCAGACTGCAGAGTTCTTGTGGAATTCTTCTTACCTCTTCCTTCAGGAAGTTTAGATTCATTAACACAGGTGCCCTTTCACCTGAGGATATACAATGCTTAGAACTTAATATACACTTTCAAGAGGCCTAAACAATCTAGTTTCAAACAAAGTTTCAAAAGATTCCTCTCATCACGTCAAAACTTGATCAGTTCTTATGAAACTTGAGCTTCCCCAAGAAGGCAACCGCTGAATCTCCAATTCAAAGCTTGAATAAAAAGCCTTTTAAAGAGAGTATCTTGAGAGTTCCTGATAAATAGGATAACAATAAACAAGGACACAGACCCAATTTTGTACCCAATCCTCTTTGCAAGCCATGTTTAAAGCATTAGGGCTTTAACAACAGCTCTACCATCTCATGTTTTGATGATGCTGTTCTGTCTGCTCTGATTCTGTTCTCATGCTCTGCCAGTCAAGGACTTCACTTTACACATCCAGACAAAATTTTGTTCTCAGTTACACGTGATTGGCTCTAAAACACAGGACCAGCAGTGCCCATGTGTGAATACACAGGTGCTTGGCTTTCACACAGCAGCCTGTGGGATCTGTAACAACCATCATCTGGAACTCTGCCTCTTTCAGCAGCAGCCAAAATGCTGACTCTAAGGGCATGTGCCAGTAAAACCAGCTGGATCTGGACCTTTTTGGACTACACCTGCAGCACAGGATATGCTCTTAGAAGAGACTTACAGATCACAATAGCCCTAAACACTATTAAGATCATCAAGGACTTTGCCCACTCTGGCAACTCCTCATCTGCAACCACCAAATTCCTGGACTTTTGTCTCACCCCAAATCTGCCCCCACAAATTCCTGGAAATATGGACAGTAAATTAAGCCACCTGATGGGGACTTGAGATAAGATAAAGGCAGTACTATTGTCCAAGTTATCTCAAGCCTAAGGAGAGGTAAACAAGAGTGGGGGAGAAGAGTGTAACACTGCAAGGAGTCCATGGAGAAGGCCAGCCCAGCAACTGTGCTGAAGGTGAGCTCTTGACTGGAGGAGACCATAGTCCACTGTCTCAAAAGAGACATACTGAGCACAGGACATTCACACTCACAAGCAGGCCTGAGGGTATTTATCTCTTCTGATGGGGTATAACAGACATGAGAGGCAGCTGTCATGTCTTAAAAGGTGTCATAAGCCTGCAAAGTCACCCAAAGCATCCCCAGATTTATTTCTGGGGCCTTCCATCAGAGGGTGTACATGATTCTCAGTGTAGCAAAATTCCACTCTGCAGGGGAGGTGCTTGAGCATGCCCATATATACCTGAATGCATATTAACCCATTAAACTTTATGTTTTGTGGGACCCTTACCACCAAAAAAGGTGAAAAAGAACCTACAAAACACTGCTGGATGCACAAGGCTAGTGATTATCTTTCTACGTAACTGTTCTCTCTCTGCCTTTCCCACCACCCTCTTTTCTGTGTCTTTGTCTCTCACACATTTTACTTAATAAAATCTGCATTATTGATTTTAGCATATCATCTCATTTGCACCTTAATTTGGGTAGAAGCATCTCTCTCTAATAATCACAATAATCAGATCTTAACAGCTCTCCAGATGTACAGTCACTCAGAGGTTGTGATTGCAGCTATGGCAGCAAAAAGGTCCGTCTCATACTCAGGAATGGTTTACTAACCCAGGGAAGTGTGATTACCAGTCCTTGAAAGGATGTGTGGATGAGGTGGGGAACAGGATTTAATGGTGGATGTGGCAGTGCTGGGTTAATGTTTGGAGGTGATGATCTTAAAGGTCTTTTCCATCTCAAATGAGTCTGTGATTCTACTTCTGTTAACACAGAGTATAAATGACTAATTAACCTGCTTTCACCTCTAATATAAATAAAAGGAGTAATGACCAGTGAATCATCATCAATGGCCTTTAGCTGAAAACAGCAACTGTGTACAGATGTTCTGAGATGACACAATGACAACTTCACTGTAAGAGCTGCTGCATTAGAGAGTTCTGAAACTGCAATGAAGTTAGTAAGTACTTTATACCCAGAGTTTTTCTTTTAAAGTTTTTAAAAGTATGTGCTAAAATGTCATGGAAAATGATTAGAGGGAGGGGGAATAGCTACATTTTAATTTGTTTGCTTTAGGCCTTATGATC